ATTTCCGATATTACTGGCAAGAATGTATTTCACATTTTAATTTAAGTAAGGTATGAAAACCTTTGTGTGATTATGCCAAAGCCGGAAAGAATCAAAGGTTGTCCTGAACGTTTTGTGCGATTTTATTGTTAGCAGAGACGGTGATGGCAAAATTCTTGAACACCATTTCTTGACTATTTGCCAAAATCAGATAAAAAATAGATCAATTAAAGTCATGACCAGACGAAGACAAAACAGGATAACTTTGAAACTGTAATGCTTGATATAAAGAAACCAGCTTCTGTAAAAGACTCCGCCACACAAGAGCTGAAAAACAAATGCAATTCACCATAAAGAAACCTGACGCTGCACAACACTAAAACATAAAGAAGACAAACAGGAGGCTCTTTTCACATGTAACAACAACATGGGGAGCATGAGAGCGCCCCCTGTGTCCAAACCATGTACTTTCTCAAAATCATATCTAATTATAGCCTGGTCGTACCACACCATAGTACAAATTTCATTTCATACTAAGGTCTGGAGTTGCTCCATTAAGTTCCGTTAACAGGTGGGAGGGGTTATGATTTGAGAAAGTACATGGTTTGGACACAGGGGGCGCTCTCATGCTTATGCTCATATCTTTGAGAATCCGGTCGTCTAACTGCATCTCCCGTTCCCTCGACACTTGTTTTCTTCCATATCAATTTAATTCGATGTATTTTATTGACAGAAAACCTGAAAGTGAGAGTTGTTTGTCGTCATGTAATAAATATATCATGATACAGATGAGCTTTTCTTTGCTTTATCCATTTGATATTCGGAAATGCCTTCGATCCCACCTCCCCACATTCCTCCGTATTAAAACAACACTGACAAAGAAGCTAATCCTTGTATTTCCTCAAAGCTAACATGACGCTCTCCTCATAACAAACACGTCACTCTCACGCACTCTCCAACACAACTCTCAATGACTTTGCTTCAGCTGGATCCTGACGCGTTGAGTTTGCACACTGTAAAAGTCAGAGACCAGAGACCAGGCCCTGACACCAGGCGGGACCCGGGCCTGGAGCAGAGGAGGAGACAGGACCATGGGGCGACAGAGGACTGGAGGGTTGAGCTGGACTGGTGTTGCACTTTGGACGTTGGTCTCTGCTCCTTATGGACCAATGTGTTTGCTATGATTACATTTCCTGTGTTTTAAGTGTTTGATTCTCTGATCTGTGTTGGCGAATCGGTAGCTTTGTAAAGTCCTCCGGGACGACTATTGTTGTGATTTAGGGCGACAAAATCCATTGAATTGAACTTGGCTGCAACGATCCTGAAGGTGCTGGACAACTGAGCACCCAGGCGACCGATTGGTCTAGATCATGGGTGTCAAAGTCAAGGCCCGGGGGCTAGATCCGGCCCATGAATTAATTATCTTGGCCCCTGAGATGATATTTGATTGAGTATTTATTTAATGTTCAAGACATGTTTTTGTCTGTGAGCCGTTGACAAATGTTTTCACTTGAAAACAATTAACCTCTGGGAACACCAGGTGCCACAGTGGGGCGGCTGTAAAGTGCCAAACTGCCGTAGTGTCCTTAAGCAAGACACTTCACCCACATTTTCTAGAATGAGTCTGGTGTGTGTGTGAATGGTTGGTGGTGGTCGGACGAGCACAGACTGGTTGCCTCGCTTCTGTCAGTGTGCCCCAGGGCAGCTGTGGCTACTGTAGTAGTTTATCACCACCGTGTTTGGAGAGAATGAAGTATGATGTGAAGCGTCTTGTCCAAAAAAGCTCTATATAAAACCGATGCATTATTATTAAATGACAGATCCATAAATAAATAAAATAGTCTAAAGGTCTTGGTTCAACGGCACGGTGGCTGAGTGGATAGCACTCTCGCCTCTCAGCAAGAAGGTCCTGGGTTCGAATCCCGGTCGGACCAGGGCCTTTCTGAGTGGAGTTTGCATGTTCTCCCCGTGTCTGCGTAGGTTTCCTCCGGGTACTCCGGTTTCCCCTACCACTAAAAATATGTCCAATAGTTCTGGCATGTGCCTCCTGTACTGTACCCTCCCATCTCTGTGTGGAGTGAGAGACAAATGCCCAAAATTAACAATTGTAAACCGCTTTGAGACTCAGATCTGCAGTGAAAAGGCGGTATATAAATAAAAACTTACTTACTTACTTACTTACTTACTTACTTACTTTTATTCAATAATTTTAATAAATTTGAATAAACATTGAACCAGTCCGGCCCTCGGCTTGTAGCACAATTGTTTTTTTGGCCTCTGTATTGGACTTTGACATCCCTGCTCTAGAGAGATAGATCTGTTTTATACTGTGTCTTAAAGCAAAACGTTCTAATCAACAAACACACCTCACACCTTCCCTGCTCTTTCTTTTTCATTTCAAACTAGGAACCAACATAACTTTTACCATCAACATTTCCTTTCAGAACAAAGAAGGAAAAGGAAGGATAAGCAGGGAGGTAGCAATACAATTTGGATGCAGCCATGAACAGGTGCAGTATCACACAAACATCGAGGGAAGAATATATCAAACTTTGCTGTTTTACCAAGTGGCATCAGGCAACAGAGACCATGTGTGTGGCACCAGCGACTGTCATGCAGACTATTTTATTCAGACACAACACTTCTGTAAGTGAACTTGAACTGAAACTACTGCGAGTTTTGCATCAATAGGCAGCAATACATACAGTAGATCAATATATTTCCAAGATATTCAATACTATACAGAATATAAATACACTTTTGAGGTGGGGAATGAGGAGAGAATCACACCACTAAACTCAGACAAATAAATATATCCGTGGGCCGCCAGTTTACAGTTACGTCAGACGGCAGAAAATCACGGCTCTATCTTCATCCAAAACAGGAAGAGGAAGTAGGGTGTAGCCTTTATTACAAACCAGATAAAAGCAAATTCCTTGTTTCTGTTCTCACCTCTCTAATTGCGCTCACGACACACAACAGAGTAAATATAACATGTTTTGACTCTGGCAGCTGTGACAGAGCCGCGCTGTGTGTCGGAAAGAGCCTGCACTTTTTATGATCTGTACCTGTTTTCTCGTTACGTAACATTGGGAAAACCTTCCACATCCTGAGCGACCAATCAGCACCGGTCACTTCTTTGAGCTCGCGCCGTCAAAATAACCTCCAGGTCCGTGTTGTGCAGATTCAGACACACACTTGTAATTATCCATTTCCAACTCACAAGTCGACATTGTTCACATTTCCAACGATGATTTACGACTACAGCTCAGGACTAGATGAAATATGGTCCAAATGTCCGAAAGGTTTTAGTCTGGCACTGTTTCAACTGTTTATTATTCATATGTTCTAAAAACTGTGGTCCTGGTAGAAGGGGCATCATTCTCATATTTTTTTTTGCAGAAAATACATCAAGATATTATATAAGTTGAATGAATATACAAAACCACACAATGCAAATTATTGATTATCCCATGACTAAACCACACCCCCAAAGGTGATGAACCAATCACAGACTGGATTATATCTGCGACCACGTCAAATCGAATCCATTGGTAGCTTACATGGCGTCCTCTGCTCTGGACCCCTCCCTCTTCTGTCCTGGACTCCTTCCCCCTAAACTCCTCCCTCCTCTGTCCTAGACTCCTCCCTCCTCTGTCCTGGACTCCTCCTTGCTCTAAGACCACTGATACAGAAGCTCTCTGTGCTTCTCTCTGTGCTCCTCTCTGTGGTTTTCTTTGTGCTTTTCTCTGTGGTTTTCTCTGTGCTTCTCTCTGTGCTTCTCTCTGTGGTTCTCTCTGTCCTCTTCTCTGTGCTTCTCTCTGTGCTTCTCTCTGTGGTTCTCTCTGTCCTCTTCTCTGTGCTTTTCTCTGTGGTTTTCTCTGTGCTTCTCTCTGTGGTTCTCTCTGTGCTTCTCTCTGTGGTTCTCTCTGTCCTCTTCTCTGTGCTTCTCTCTGTAGTTCTCTCTGTGGTTCCCTCTGTGCTTCTCTCTCTGTGCAGTGTGTGGAACAGGCTGCATAGCCTGTTCTTCGGGGCAGAATAACAGTTTATACAGAGGTGATTTGATACAGTTGAGTTTTGATTTCTCGCTGAGGTGACGCGTGTGCTGCGTGTTACAGTGACTGAGGACCAGCCGAGGGGAGAAACCAAAGCCAGGTGTAAGTTGAAGACACAGACACAGAAACAAGACACAGCTTGTATTGTTTGTATGTGAATGAGACAAGCTTGCCACAAAAAGCACAGTATACATGCCCTAGCCACACCATTGCCCTTACCATTGTACTCATTTCATTTTGTGCTGAGGTCTGGATTTCCTCCATTGAGCTGTGTTAACAGGTGGGAGGGGTTAAGCCTTTAATGTTCACTCCTTGAAGAAAGCAATAGATTTTTTATGTTTTGGATTCTCTAAGATGTAGGAGAAAAATAACATTTGCCTTTACCAAATAGTGGAGATGAAGTTTAATGTTAAAAGTGCCTAAAACCAAGTGAGATCTCCCAAAGAGGAACATTTCAGTTCCAAGGTTGAAGTAGATGGAGACTCAAACGGTAATTTACCAAATGGTTGAGGAAGCCAAGGGTTATTGGATCCGAGTTTACCGTGACGTATGCCTAGCTTTATCCATCTCCTTTGCCACTAACAGATCCCGTGGGGAGTAGAGCCACAAAATCTTTGCCGCAATAACATTTGCCAAACATTCCTCTTCCTCCGGCTTCAACTTCTTGATATCTGGAGCCGAACCAGAACACATTACTTTACTACTGCTTTTGCCAAACTACATCCAGCAAACGCGGCGCAAACTCTTGACGTCACCGACACCGACCAACAACATCCACCTCCTCCGCTCGCTGACTGGTCGGAGGGGATTCAACAGAGGAAACTGCAGCCACTAGGATCAGACCCAGACGTACATGTAGGAGATGATAATTCACCAGAGTTTACAGATGGATAAGGCCAGGCTAATATTGCCCCTTTGCTGTGTCCATGAGACCAATCTAGCAGTAATTGTCGTCTGTGAACTTACCTGGCGGGCGATGGGAGTCTCGAGCCTGTTGATTCTCTTCACCAAACCAGGTTTAATGGAAGTCAGGAGTCTGCCAAAACATACACAACATGATTAAGTGTAAATCCACTTTCATGAGGAACACACACCAAGACGAGCAACACTTCTAAGGAACCGAGATGTCAAGATTATAAACCACTGATTTTTACAAGTTCTTTGATCCCTGCAGCTTACATAACGTTGCGGTGTTTTTATTGTGGTAGAGTCAGGCTGTTGTCAGAGCAGAGAGTTTATGGACTCCATCAAGTTTAAGTCTCTACAAGACACTGGTTTATTGTCAAAACAGATGAAGGTGAATGAGCCATGCAAGCTAACGGTGACAATGTTAAACTCCTTGTCATTAAATCCTGTGGTATCCATTTAAAACAGAGTGTGTTTAGAAAAAAAAAACTCTGTACTACATTGTAGCTTATATTCAGGAGAGGCCTATAATTGAACAACATTTACTTTCCTTTAAAAAGGCACACCTTATATACAGGTGCGCCTTCTAGTCCAGAAAGAACAGCATGCCATCTAGTCTGTCTTAACTTTAATATTAAAACCGCAAAAAGCAGTTACAGCGCTCGCCACTCTTGCCGCCGTCTCCCGGGCGCCAGTCCGATAAGCGACATACAGTGCGTTTGCCGATGAATTCGCAGCCTGATCTGACCAGGATGATGCACAAAAAAGCCCATTCAAAGGATTCACTGCTCCCCTAGTGGTCAGCAGTGGGACATGCATCCTCTGTCTTATGGAATATTTAGTTTGCTTAAATGTAAAGTCGCAGTAACGTCTCTGTGGCCTTCTATAGGTGGCGCTATAGAGGTGATATTGGGCGTGTGACTGTGACGCCATTACTCTCAGGTCATTCCCAACATACTACTCTCTGAGGCCTTACAGGAAAACTGTGAGGAAAACAACATTTTCTTGATGTTCTCTGTGAATGGGAGTTGACGAGTTAGAAGTCAGTCCAATGAACAACTTTGGACGAGATCGAATTAAAAAACACACAAAACTTTGAAGTGCCTACAGGTGGCGCTGTTGCACCCACAGTTGTGTGTTGTATATTGATGTGTTTGAGGTAAAATGCCACATATGAGAAACATCAGCATTGCACACAATTGAAACAGTATTTCAGACATTCTCGTTTTACTTCTGAATCAATCACATCTTTGAGTGGATTGTTTTTGATGACTCGGGCTGTTTTTCTCCTGGTTTGTCCGACTGTCATGTACCTTTCTCTCCTCTCTCGTCTCCAGTTTCCTCTTTTGTGGTTGTTTTCTTACAGGAAGTAGTGGAACCTACGCCTGTATCCAGTTACAGCTTCATTCACGAGCGTCTGCTATTCGCCTCAGGTCTGGAGACTATTCTGTGTCAAACGCTCACATTTAACCTGGTTTTGGTCCCGTCACTAATACTGTATTTTCTGTTCAAAAGCCTGAGGTGCTGTGAGCTCTGGTATGTGGGTTAGGGGTGGGTTAATATTTATGTTTTTATTTGTTTTAGCAAAGTTAACACAAATCTTGTACATGTTCAACATAAAAATAGAACACATTTTTAACTCAAGAGACAAAGAGAGCACCTTCCTTCACAGTGGATCTGCAAATTCTCATTTCAAGATATGTCCACATAAACACAGCGCAGGAGAAGATAAACGAACACAGCTCTATACTAAACTCTCTACTAAAAATAAAAACATAAAATAAGATCTCTAGCTTCAGAATATTAAGGAGCAGTCTATAATCTGTAATAAGAAGCAACAATTAAAGCAATCTAAATCATCTACAAGAATTTTCTAATAAGAATATTCTGGATTGATTTCTCTAAAATACATCATTTATGAAACAAATTAAGTCAGGTACCCCAGCTTTAAAACCAGAACCCTCTCTGCTGAAATGTGGAATCCCTTATTGTAGAAGAATACAGAAAAAGAAACAGAGTCTGGTGAGAGCAGATTTATGGTTTCTAATATTTTACAGAAATAGATTGTACTCACAGGTTCTTTCCGTAAGACATTTGTTATTTAGTTTACTTTAGATAATACGATCTCAGCCTGTTCTCAGACATTTATACTTTTTAGATGTAAACAATAAAATCACAGGTTTGTATCAGTGTGGGGTCCCGTATCCAGAATGTCCATGAACACGTGCGCTGACATGTTGCAATCTCACTCCGGGTCGGTGGGGGTGTACCCGGAATTAGAATTTACCCAATGCATTTGTATGGCATATTCTTTCCTCTCGAAACTTCTTTACTGGAGGGCCCAAAAGTCGCTCTTGGCCCAACGCTACGTTCCAGAAGCTGTCAATGCTGAGGAGACCAGTCTAGTTTAGACGCTATGGACTTCAGAATGCACTCGTTAAATGAATGGGGCCTGTCTCGGCTAATGCGTGCGCAAATGCGTTTTTTTCACATTTTCCGGCCCCCGCAGCCATTTTGAAAAGGCCCACAGAAGGCAAGGCTGTCAGACTGCACAATTAATCACTTTAAGTCACTAATGAACTAGGACTGAAAAAAACCTGCACTACTATTGCCACTCTTTCTTTTATTGCCACTTTTTTATTATTGTTAATAATATGTCCTGCACAGACTATATTTTTAACCTTTAACATGTTGCAAAACTTCTGTCTTTTGCACAATCTGAGTGATTCTATCTGTGCCAAATGTGATATGTACATTCTCTAAAGTGAGATTAATAAAGTTTATCTTATTGTATCTTATCTTAGAGATAGGCTTGACTACGTCTGTTCATATTTACAGTCTGTGGTTTGTAAACTGGCTCAGTCCTGTGATTCAAAGGGAAGTTGTGTAACCCTTTTCAAGTGGAGAATTCCAGAACGCAGCAGGAGATTTGTAGAATGAGTTTTGACGTCTCAGTCACAAAGAAGCTTTGTCCAAACAGTGCAGTGGGCCGTCAATCAAAGCCACAGTTTCATCTCGGAAGTGATCGTTTGCTTTTGACACAGTGTGGAATCTGCGGCATGTGAGGATCAGAAGTGAGTTGGTAAAAGAGCGGCCATTGATCTCACACGCCACAGGACGCTTCACATCAATATTCCTTCACTCCAAACACAGTGGTGATAAACTACTACTGTAGCCACAGCTGCCCTGGGGCTGCCATCGGCCCCTCCCACCACCACCAATCATTCATAGACGCATCCGACTCATTCTTATGTGGGGGAAGTGTCTTGCCTAAGGACACAACCACAGTTTGGCACTTTACAGCCAGAGCCGCCCCACTGTGGCACCTGGTGTTCCCAGAGGTCTCCCATCAGTATGGACACAATTTATCAGAAAATATCCCAACAATTTTCATAAAATAAATACCAGATACTTTACATGGTAACGTCACTTTGCTGTCCCTGTGTCCCAGAGCCTCATGCTGCTAATGTACAGATGGAAACATACATTTATACTTGCTTAATATTTATGCTAAAGTTCGAGAAGTTATAATTATTGTTCATTTATCTTGGGCTGTGTGCTCCTCATTCCTACTGTTCTGTAACTGGTGATGCAACACTGACATTTCCCCGCTGTAGGACCAATAATGGATCTCTGAATCTCACTCATGCTGAATATTAATGGTACAAATATAAACATCATTTTCAAACCACTAATAGAGAGAGAAAAGTTCAGTGCTAATTATTTCAAAAAGCTTTCCTCGTCTTCTCTATTTCCTCCAAGAGAAGTCATATAATATAATCCAATTAAAAAGTTTTGCAGCAGATTGTTAAGACACTTTAGTTTCATTAAAAGCAGGTCCCTTTAAACACTGTCCTTCAGAGTTACACAAACAAAACTGAAATGCACTTACTCGCAGAGGAGGACGCCGTTCTCCAGGCCGGCTCTGGTCTCCTTCTCACCAAAACTCCTCCCGGTCACAGCCTGGAACACAACGCAAAGAAGGAGACCATTAGAGCCACTCTCCTGGTTCTCCTGGTCCCACGCAGGTCAGTGAGGATGGTGAGGAGTCCCCTGACGATGGCCGTATCTCTCCGCACCAAACGCTAACGAGCTTTTCTTAATCCCGTCTAACTGAGCGTGTGGCTAATGAGACGTGACAGGGGAATTATGGTGTAAGAGTGGTTAGCATGACAGCGCTGTATTATTAGCATGTGGTTCATTCAGGCAGAAATGTACAGAGGATCATTCCATTGTTAGTTGTTGCAGAGAGTTTGAACCAAGCAGAGGAAACAGCACATCACCAGCGGCTTCACCACCTGCTGCTGTTTTCCACAGCAGGAGTTCCTGGTAAAAGGAGCGGAGTGGAACTTTTTGCAGGAACTGTCCTCTCCCTCGGTCCTCTCAGTGTCCGTGTCTCCGCTGCAGTAGGACACTCGGCGACGTCATGAGTTTAGATTGCCGCATATGCGAAAGTCATTACGCCAAACCCATTTGTTTATTTTACACCATAACCGCTACGGTTGTTGTGGTCTTTGAGGTTTTTTTTATAGTCCTGCTTCAGTTTTTAAAACTTTTCACAGCTCTTTTTGGAGTGTGATGAATCACCAGTGCTTCGAGGTGAAGCTGATCTGTCTAAATATATCTTTTCATTTCGCTGCAACGCCTCAAACCCCGTCTGAATCAGTGCCTGCAGCTTGCTGTTTCCAGTGGTGTCTGCTAGGCTAATGCTGCTAGGCTAATGCTGCTGGGCTAATGCTGCTAGGCTAATGCTGCTGGGCTAAAGCTGAACGCCGGTTGTTTTGGTGCTTTCTGCTGGCGTCGGAGCCTGCTCTAGCTTTAGCCAATCAGTTAACCTCAAGCCCCACCAGGAGCTGTTCAGGGCCCAACAGAGTACCAAGCATGGAGGAGGGACTCCGTTGGGCCCCGTAAAAATTCTTGTAAATGGCGGGAGAATGTGGGGAAGGTTCCTGCAGTGGAGACCCTGGAAAATTACCCTGAAGTTCCTTTGGTGGAAACGCGGCTAATATGTCACTTTTCTTCTGAGTTCCAATAAAACCTCCCAGAGAGGTTAGAGTCTTGTATGCGGACTGTCTCTTTTTGTCTACCTTCCATTTTAGACACCACAAGCAGAAATGTTGGCTGCTGCTGGTGCCACAAAAGGTTGGACTCTGTAAATACTGGCACTATATCAAAGCCATAATGGATGACTTAATTAAATTCTAGTAGTATTGGATCTGCTTTATTTGTCCTTGGCATCCACAGCCCTACTTGGCCCTCATCTATTCTACCCAGAATTGGAGCATTGGTCCCTGTGTAACCAGAACAAGGTCCTTCTTTAGTCCCTCTTGGTCCTGGTTTTATCCACGCCGAGCTGGTCTACTTTAGTACCAGCTGATTGGTCGGAGGGGATTCAACCGAGGTAACTGCAGCCACAAGGATCAGACCCAGACGTTCATATAGGAAATTATACTGGATCGGAGTTTACGGATGGCTAAGACCAGGCTACATCATTTGGTAGATGAGACATTAAAGGGTTAAGCTCTGTACAAAGCCCATTGTATCAGAAAGTTTGTAATCTGTGGTTCTTCTATATCCACACATCTGTCCAAACCCCCAGACCTGCCACAAAAGAGCCCCTACCACACGGAGACATAACACGATGACTCACACAGGCACCAAAGATCAGACACCGAAGCGAATCTGCAACAGTGTGACGGGGAAAGCTGATAAGGTGCATTTGGTATTGCACAAGTATTGCACAAGTATTGCAAACATATTTCATTCATTTGATGCACTAGTGTTGTCGTAGCAGTAGTGGTGTCAGTTATAGCCCGTCTATATTTACACACTTTCGTCCGTCCTCTCTTTCCAGAAACATCAGTCCGTCGGTTTTAGATGCTGTGACATAGATACGTTTATAGCTGTGCTTCTAAAACGTGCCGCGGCCCTGATTTAGCAGCAGCTCAGTGAATGTGTCACGGCTGCAGCGTCCTCAGAAACCCTCCAGAGATACATTTGGAGGTCAGTGTGGACTGTCTCACAATTTTTCAGATGTTAAATAAAACTTGTATCATTGAAATAACAATTTTAGCATCTGACAAGGATCCTGGTTCATGGACTGATGGTCATGACTGTAAATAAATTGAAATAAAACGTTTTATATACATTTATATTACGTGGTTATGTGTGGACTAAGTGCAAATGACTGGTTCACCAAAATGGTTGGGCGCTTCTTAAGTAAGTAAGTAATCTTTATTTATACAGCGCTTTTTTACAGACCAAGGTCACACAAAGCACTTTACAATGTTCAGAAATCAAATACTTTTCCATTCTCTCCACACTTTGATGACAGAAGCGAGACACCCACCAAACACCATCCATTCACTCACTCATTACATTCATACCTATTGCATGTTTTTTTAGTGGTAGGGGAAACCGGAGCACCTGGAGGAAACCTACGCAGACATGGGGAGAACATGCTATCCACTCCGCCACCGTGACGCCCGAAAGGCAATATACAATTCAACTCAAAACTCAGAGGACTTTACGAAGCTGTCGATTCACCAACACAGATCAGAGAATCAAAGAGTTCAAGCACAGGAAACACAATGATAACAAACACATAGGTCCAAAAAGGGGCGGAGACCAATGTCCATAAATGTTGATAAATGTCCATAAATAAAGATTACTAACTACTTCTATTTCTTACCGCTGATATGGCATGTTATACCTTATTTTAAAGCAGGAAAATAATGAATTGTTTTGTATTATATTGTATGTACATGTATTTCTACTCTTAACAATTAAACCAAATAGTAGGTTTAGGTTTTCTCTCCTTCACTTCTTCACAGGACACAAAACCTGACTCTGTTTTCTATAAAATGACGATTCCAGTGTCTATTTAGCTATTGTTCATATAAAATGTTGTGATTGAGCTCAGATCAAAGCCTGGGGGAAGCCTTTCCTCACACAGAGATTGGAGGACAAGCCCTACCCCGGAAGTGAGAGGACACTGGCGCGTTTTTGATGCCGCACCGATACCCGGTCCAGAGAACACATCACCCCTGTCCTCCAGCAGCTCCACTGGCTCCCCGTTCAATACCGCATCCATTACAAGCTCCTTCTCATCACCTACAAGTCCCTCCATAACCTGGCCCCGCCCTACCTCACTGAGCTCCTACAACAGCACCAACCCACCCGCTGCCTTTGCTCAGCCGATTCCAACCTCCTCACTCCCATCACCTTGGGGGACAGAGCCTTTGGAACCCAACCCTCTGGAACTCACTCACACTGCCCATTAGAAACTCAGACTCACTACCAAACTTTAAATCAGTACAGAATGTAAAGAATGTCCAATGGGAGACACTGGGACTGGACTCAGACTGACCCATGTGAAACAGACTTACATACTCCAGAGTCCATGATCAGAGAAACACAGTCTTTGCAGTTGGCTGTGGAATGTTATTTGAACGATCCAACATTAGCAGCTGTTCGTGCTCCGTCCCTTTGACTTCCTTCTGAGAGCTTTCTGTCCAAACTACAGTCGCTCCAAAGATTCATGACCCGATTCCTAAAGTGATGCTGTCTCCAATGGATGCCCGACGGCTGCGGAGGCAAACACACATTCAGCCAGAGACCAGGGAGCTCGGATCTGCTCGTCTGTAAATAATGGATGTGAAGCAAAGATACAGCTGACAGAAAAGTTTTTTGAGCAATATCATGTGATTTATCTCATTGGGCAAGAGTTCAAGAAAGTAATTAGTCAAAAAAGCTTTTTTTTTATTACTACAATTTTACCCTATCTAAAAGTCACTTGATTTGGTATGTAATAAGGAATTGGATGAAGAAAAAAGCTTGTATTAATCCAGTCCCCTCCAAAAAGACAGTGTTTGTGTTGTCTAGTACAGTGAGAGGATGTTTGTGCCTTTGGAAATGATTCAATATCACCGAACTGGTCAAAATACTGTGAACAGAAAGAAAAGATTGCCCCTTTTCTGTCTTATACATTCACGTTTGCTGTTGAATGCGCTGGAAACGGCAGCAAGTCCAAAGTACCTCTGAAACAGTTGTTTTTTTGTGCTTTACAATTGTTAATTTTGTTTGCTTTTTTTTGTCTGAGATGTTGCTGCAGTACAGTGTTCATGGTTTTACACTGGTGCAGGCCAGAGCAGAGAGGATTCATGGTCCGAACCAAGCAGATCAGGCAAAAATCCACTGGAGGAATGCTAACTTTTTGAAAAATGCTAACAAAGCATTCAGCATTTTACTTTGGACCAGAGCAGAGAAAATGGTCCGACAATGCTGCACTTCAATGACATGATAAAGCCTTGTTTGACTTTTGTATCGCTTTTGCCAGTACCATGTTATTGTTTTCAATGAGAAAGGTTTGCCACGGCTATAAAAGGTTGGGGAACACTGGTCTAATACTGGTCTCAATCTCTGCTTTTGTTATTTTGTTGTTTTACAGTGTATAGAACTACTGAACACAGTAGAAATGACTTAAAGACAGAAAGTCTCTTGCAGTGGTGTGCAAAGCATGTCAGAAACCAGATACGGGCTCCTGGTAGAAGCCTAGAGGACAACGCACACTGACAGCCCAACTTATGACCAATTTTTTTGCAGCGGCAGTCACACGTCTTTCCGTCAAAATACATACTTGTGTTAAATGCGCGGTAAAAAAAATTACGCTGTTGAAATTAGTTTGTGTTAACGCTGACTAATATACTGTATATACACTTTAAAATCATCCATGGTCCCAGTATAGATCCATGTCCCAGTGTAGATCTATGGTCCCAGTCTAGATCCATGTCCCAGTGTAGATCCATGGTCCCAGTGTAGATCCATAGTCCCAGTCCTTATCCATGTCCCAGTGTAGATCCATGGTCCCAGTGTAGATCCATGGTCCCAGTCTAGATCCATAGTCCCAGTCCTTATCCATGTCCCAGTGTAGATCCATGGTCCCAGTCTAGATCCATGGTCCCAGTCTAGATCCATGTCCCAGTCTAGATCCATGGTCCCAGTGTAGATCTATGGTCCCAGTCTAGATCCATGTCCCAGTGTAGATCCATGGTTCCAGTCTAGATCCATGGTCCCAGTGTAGATCCATAGTCCCAGTCCTTATCCATGTCCCAGTGTAGATCCATGGTTCCAGTCTAGATCCATGGTCCCAGTGTAGATCCATAGTCCCAGTATAGTTAAATGGTCCAGTGTATATCCATGGTCCCAATCTAGATCCATGGTCCCAGTGTAGATCCATGGTCCCAGTATAGATCCATGGTCAGAGTATAGATCCATGGTCCCAGTATAGATCCATGGTCCAAGTATAGATCCATGGTCCCAGTGGAGATCAATGAACCCAGTGGATCTGCATGGTCCCAGTGTAGGCTCATGGTCCCAGTGTACTGTAGATCCATGGTCACAGTGTAGATCCATGGTCCCAGTATAGATCCATGGTCCCATTGTAGACTCATGGTCCCAGTGTAGACTCATGGTCTACACTGGGACCAGTGTAGACCATGGTCTACACAGAAATCTGCTTTATTCAAATCAGGGAAGTGGTTTTTCTGGATTCAACAAACTGAAGGAAGACACAATCTACTCTTGAAGAAAATTATGGTGCCAGAGAAGCCATGATAAAGCTGGGGCACCTAACTTTCAAACTACTAACTACGTAATGTTCAATCACATTCTGTTCTCTTTTTTGTTCTTTGCCAAATGAGAAGAAAGGCCTTTTTTTTTGTCCGATTTGTTAAAATGTTGTTGTGACAAGTTTGGAAATTCACAATTCGCTCATTGGCTGCATCCAAATTGTACATAACCTCATTCCTTATTCTTCCTTAATGTATAATCATGACCTTTTATGAGACAACATTTGTCCAAGTTTGGTCAACAGAAATGAAATGCCCTTTTGTTTTGATGTGAAATGTAATATTTATTCTTAATACACATATAATGGAAAAAAAAGAGTAGGGAAGGCATGAGAAGTGTGTGTTGTGTTTGCTATTTGGATGCAGCCATGTCTTTGACGAAGAGACAGAATAATGTTTAAGACCATTCTTATGTCTGTGGTCTCTGTATTTAAAATCTCACGAGACAAGTCAGTATTACAGATAGCTTTAGCTATAGCTGTACTGCTGCTTTGACTTCTTGAGTTATGTCTGTGAAAACCAATGTCTATTTGTCATCGCACAACAAGCCTCTGAGGAAAATATTGATAATGAAAATAAGTGTATTTCTTTCCCACATCTTTTCTACACTACATGGTGCTGCTGGTAGGGCTGGTAACTGGAAGCATTTTCTCCATTTTCACACTTCACACAGAACTCCCTACAGACCACATCCATGTGTTAGAGAGAGGTCTGGTCACTGAGGCAGCCATGTTTATTCTGAGGCTGACTGTTGGGGAAGTGTGACCCAGGACTGGGCCCCAAACCTCTCAGAGCTCCTGGTTCATGTGGGGGTCAGGACTGGGATCAGAAGATCATCCATCAGGGAGCTGCCACAGCCTCCTCCACAGCCTCCTCCAGCTCTATTGTGAGGAGCAGTGTTTACTCTGTTTACTGTCTGACACTTACAGCACGAGGACTGAGCAGGGCCCAGAGAGCGAGGCCTGAGGTGAAGGACAGGACTTATGTTATCGTTTTGAATGTTATGTTATCATGTTTTTATAAGGCTCAAGACCCCTTTTTATTTTTTGATTTGTTTAAGATAAGTATTTATCAATTATAATTTAGAGCAGGGGTCTCCAACCCGTAGCTCGGGAGCCACCAGTAGCTCGCCATCCCCTTCCAAGTAGCTTGCCAAGAGATTTAGAAATAGATACAATCCAGAAATATACATCAAATTTCAGTTTGTATAATTCACTATCAATATTTATTACTGTAAATACACTTTGTGCTCTATAAATGTGATGATAAATAATGGCTGTATCCATCATCAGGCTTGTTCAGACCAATACATCACTACATTTTTCCCAGGACCACTTAGTATAGCTCTCTGCCTTTATTGTCCCGATAAATTAAAATGCAGCACAAAAAGTCCAAACCCAGACGTAACAACTCTTATTATTTACTTGTACGCTGTCTTTAGATAAAGTATAGTCCCTCATGTGACTTCACCTCCCCACATGTAAGCAACGGGCTTTGGAACGGTTTTTATTATTGTCCAAAAGACACAGTGGGTTTAATGTTAGTTTAGTCAAATACTTTATTCCAGGGTTTGATCAAAATGACAGTGGAATAAGGAGCTGCATGGTTTGTCCCTGCTGCTGAAATCAAGCAGCAGGATGTTCTGATTGTAGCTCCCTGCTGTGGTTGGTCTGAGCTCATGGTTTGACACCAGCGTCAGACCTGGACGTGCTGATGACATAAATACTGCCGTCAACAGCTTCAGAACGCAGAGCTCACAGTTGCTGCAGGTGCGGACAGAAATCCACTTCATTCACAAAAGACAACATCACGACTGATGTAATGTGTGGATAAAAACAACACATGGATCAAAAACTAAACTAGAGGAAAGATGACATCACAGTCACATCTAAGGCTCGAACAAACAAAAACCTGTAAAGACTGAGAAAAGTCACGAGGCTCCGACATGAGTCCAAAGTGATGTCCTTAAGGATGATGAGTGACGACAAACACCACAATAACAACACAAGGTTATATTTATGCCTCAAATGTTAATAAAGGAAACATTTATGTCCCATGTATGTAGTTATTGATCAGAACTAGGGATGCACCGATTGTGACATTTAGTACCGATACGATACTGATGTTTGACATAACAACTTGGCCCATGCTTTTAAATGTTGTTATTTATATTTATATATTTCGCTGTACACCAACTTATGTTTCTCAAATGTCCATAAAGCTGATATCTAAACAATCGCCATACAGCCGCCGCCATCTTCTTTGTCTCTTCTACTGAGGAAAGTCGCAGAAGATAAAAGAACTATACCTGATTTATTTTCTAATGACTTCAAACAAATTCCTAAATATAAGTTGTATTGAAATCCGTAATTGCGGGTACGAAACCGCCTCGGACTACATTTGGACCCAAAACTGGTGGTAATCTTTCAGCTATTGTCTGTATATTTTGTTGGCAGTGCATTGCTTTAGTACCATTTCATCGATGATTGTTGTACAGCTTACGAGAAGTTGTGCTAATGCTAACGTTTGCATACATGTCAGATCGCTACTAAAACTAGATGGCTCTGTGGGATGAATTGAATTGAATTTTAATGTTATTATTTATTTGACTTTAGGACAGTACATATCATTCAATGTGTTGGCAAACAGCGTCAACATAAATATGCTGGAATTAGCAACAATAGCTAAATAGCATCCATTGTTCTAAGAAAGGTAGAAACATATAAACACACAGTTAGGTAAAAGTAAACAATAACTCAAGCACAACGTAAAGAA